TTGGGCCAAAGCTTTATTGATGTATATCAAGAATTGAAAAGAATATCTTTGAATAATGTCTTTGATTGATATGAACGCTTGTTACATGATCTCACATACATCTTGTTGTTCCTCTTTACCTTGTCACATTGAAGTATATATATATATATATATATATATATATATATATATATATATATATATATATATATATATGGCATAACATTATATTGTATCTATTATTGAACTCACTAAGCGTCACCACTTACCCTATCAATGTTTAACAATTGCAGGTGATAAATAAATAGTATGTTTACATACTAATGAAAGATGTAAAATAGTTTGTAATAGTACTTTTGTACTACTTTTTATGTTTATATAAATTATAATATCCTGGGTAGTTATGTAATATATATAACACTTTGTAATAGAAGGTTTATATCCAATAGTTTGTAAATCCTTTATATCAATGTAAAATATTGCTTTTATGAATATGCAAATAACATGTTTTGGAGTAATGATAATGTGAAATATGAAAGTTTGGGTCTTTCAAAAATACGAAAGTTGGGGTCTTTCAGCAAATCATCGCGTGTACAGTCAAGAGTTGCCCTCCCCTCGATATGAAGAAATACCTGAAAACATTTAATCTGCAATTGTAAGCCAAAGATTAATGATTTTCTAAAATACCATATATCACAATACATATACAATGCATACAAATAATAACCTTCAACATGAAGTTGGTCCACTCCCTTGGCCTTCAACATAAAGATGGTCAACCCCTTTAGCCTTCAGTATAAAGCTTATTCGCCCGAGTAACTTGGCCTTTAGCACACTATTGGACCGTTCTCAACTCACAACATGATATGTCAACATATATACCAGACAGACAAACAATCAATCCAACACAACATGCAATTGGCTAAACTAATCTACTTGCCTAACAACACACTACAACATGACAACATCCTAACATACAGATGATACATACTTTAATATATAGTATAGTGAGAAAACTCACTTGAAGAGTGCTTGGACAACTATCATCATTCCAATTGGCGAGCAAATGCACCAAACATGTATTAACCTATAATACTATAAACGATCAATATCTATGGAATATAAAGACCGATATCTAGATCCTTCATCAATCCCATTAATATTGAAATGACTATCAAATAAGTATTAGTCGGTCAAGACCATCGGAAGGTAGGATCATTTCGACATTTAACCTTTTTGAAACCCAACAACCATACCAACATTTCTATACCAGACACCGCTCCCGTAAGTAGATCAATCACTATAATAACTATAATTAATGATTAATCTAATACACGATTCATAATAACGACGATAGGTATACTATATAACAAGTTATACTTAAGAGAAAGTGTAATTTACCTGATTGATGAATAACTCGGAAAAAGACGAACGTAACTTCAAATCTTGATCCTTCTATTAAGGATCCTTTCGAAACTTTCAGCACTTCACTATCATATTACAGAACGAGAAATTAAATCACGAACGACTGAGTTCTTGAGAGGGAGAAAGAAAGAGAGATTGAAGGGAAAGGGGCAAGGAAAATAGGAGGGGAAGGGGAGGCGGGGGGGGGGGGGGGGGGAGGGTTCTCTATATAGGGCCAAATCTGGTCACGATAAACATTGACTGTGCCGCGGTCCGCGTCCAGACAGACTTCATTACTTTTCCATACGAACTTTATAAAATTCCTCCGCACACGACAAATCCCCCGCACCGTGAATTTTATAAAATTTGTTGGAACTTCTAAAAATCATAAATTGTACATACGAAATTCGTTTTTGATGCCTTTTATATCCATGCGTTTGTATTTACGCGTACTACAACTTTCGTTTTGATCATTTCAACTAAATGCAATAAATATTTTATAAACATTTGTTTTTATATCTCAAATGTGAAAACCACGTGTTAGAACACGAGCCTCTTGTCCAAATCTTTAGACAACAAACAACTTGATATAAAACATTACCAAATAAACTTAACCGATGTGGCGATGTTCGAATTCCATAAAATTCAACACTATCTCAATTTATTTTTGTGAGATGGGCCATAAAATTGAAGCAGTGTTGCATGGGCCTGTTGGGGGCCTAGCGCATCCAAACTGTCTTTTTACAGCAAGAGGCACCCATGACCCATTGACCGTTTTTCCTTCTCGTAAAAGGTGAAAACTCATCTTTCTGGGGGCGCACTCAGTTCGCCTGCTGTCACTACTCGGTCTCATTCTTTGAATCTTCAATTCCATCGGTCGTGTTTAACAGGAAGAGGTAAAAGTTGTTGTTTAATCCGTTCACTATTGATTGTTCGCTGTTTTTCCTTGTAATTATTATTCTTGTTGTCCAACTTTTGGTTACCCTAATTCCCTTTATATCTGAGCAATCATTTCTAGGGTTTTCGAGATTCTTAAAGTTAGATTGTTTGTTTGCCTTGTTGAGTAGCTTAGTAGACGCCTCCTCATCTTTCAGACCTTTCTTCTGTAAACTATTCGCTACGTCCCATGAAAGTTTAACCGTTGAGTTCGGTAATTCCAAAACCCGAATGGACCAATATATAGCTTCAAAAGACGCATCTTGTCATGAAATGGTTGCTTAAAATCTTATACACACCTTACTTGAAGCAAAGCATGTGGTTAGCGACTTTAAGCTTAACGCTTCTGGAACTGATGCTTCCTTTTGTCTTTCTCTTCTTAAATTTCAAGGCTTGCGGAGGAGTTTAAGTCTTTTGGGCCCAAAAGTATGCACATTTATAGTTTATTTTCAAAATTTTGTTATTCTGTTATCTACTTGTGGTGGGCAGTTTTACCAATCTTGGGTATATGAATTGTTGTATGATTGATGATGTAGCTGTGTATAATCTAATGATGAGTGTCTTTAAAGAACAATTCATGGTACGAGTTGTACAATTTGATTGGATTAATGAAAGAAATATCAACTATTCAACTAGGAATCTTTAGTGGTCATTTTAACATACATCTTTTACCAAATTTGTGTCTGTTGAGGATTTTTGTTGTACATATCATTCTTTCACTACTTCAATCCACATTTTTTTGTTAAAGAAAATTACAACTGAATGTTATGCTATATCTACTAACACCATAATAAACACTTGTCAAATTTGTATTTTGACAAGTATGGGCTTCAAAATAGTTACCATTATATTAAGGTTAGACTGACTCTCATGATTTGAGATGGTTAATACTTCTAAAAGTTGTGTTTTATCAAACTTCTGTTTTTGATTGATAAAGCTAGTATCCTCTATCAATGCCCTTTTTCTGAAATTCTTATGTGTTCATAACTTAAAGACTTTTTTTATACATGTTTGAAGTTCTTCATTTCCAAGAATCAGCCTACTCTTACAAAAATCTTTGTTTTAAACAATTTATAGCCTACTTTAAAAGTCTTACTTTTCAAATCATATCTACTGTTTTAATATCGTGCATTAGTTGTTTTAGATAGAGATTAATTGTGCATTAGATATAATAGGTGATAAAAAGTTATTGTAAAGGTGACACTTCACATTTAATGTAGGTTAACTGGGCTACACGTTGTTTAATTTAAGTAGTTATTTGAAAATATGCAAATCATTTCTTGATCATGCATTTATATTAGAAGAATAAATGATCTCTATAAAATCATACTTCAACTCTATACATTTTTAATCAAATTTGATATTTTTGAATTTCAGTATCACACTGAAATATGTTTATTTTCACATTCTCTCAAATCGACTTGCCATTTCTTTTGTGTTTCAGAAGAAGCTGTAGACTTCTTTGCTTTTAGTCTTTTTACTATTGATTGCCCCTTTGTATATTTTTTGGGATTTATTGTTTTATGTCAAATATTTACATACAAATTGTAGTAACTACTAAATTATAAAACAGAGGTAGTTTGCATCTTTTAGTATGGAATTGATTTCTGTTCAAATTCACAAATCTTATATCCATAATTGTATACAAATTTCCTTCCATAAACTCATGGGATTCAATCTTGATCCTCCCCTATTTGCACAAATGACTGAATTACCCCTTTTCAACCTTTTTATAACATTGTCGTATGTTGCTTTCTTCTTTTGGTTATTGGATTATGTAGTTTATCGTTTATTATTTGTTTCGGAGTTTGTTGTCATATATGAATAAATTTATGTTTACTAATATGTTAACAAGAAATTCATAAAACATAAATATGCTTACTTTTACAAATAGTCAAGAGAAGTTTTATGAACAAGAAATCAACAAAGGGCAATTCTGTCATTTGTCATTATATACTCAAAATTGAGTGGTCAGCAATCAACCTGCTTATTATATCTCATATGAATTTCGGTAATTTGACTTTAAATTTAGATATTTTAATGTTTATATTTATTGTGTTGATAGAGTGGTGCAAAACTTTGTATGTGGCTCTATGGTGCCTCCTTTGCAGCTGGATTTTGGAAGCTCTTTTTACATCCACCAACTCCTTCCATGACAAACTCATACTGTGTCATTTAAGGTAATGACATCATATTATTATGTAAATTCTAATTTCATTACTTTTTTATCATAAAACCAATTCATGAAATAATTACATTGGTGGACATGTCTCATGTTATTCAAGGTGTTCATGTAAAATTTAGTAGTGTTGAGAAAATGAAATCATATATGCGTATATGTAATACATATACATGTATACGTAATGTATACGCATAATTGCATATACACATAATTTAATAGAATGAACTATTCTTGAAATATATGATTCCTTCCATTATGTTAGTTTTCATTCCTTAATCATTGACTATATATATTTTTTTCTTTTTTGCTCATTGAATGGAGTGAAAATTGGCAATATAACTCGATCCTTACGTATGTAATTTATCATGACAGTTTTTCACGATGCTAATAAAATCATCATTTTAAATTTTATTAATTGAAAATTTTATTTCAGGCATTCGCTGTGATGGATGCCAACAAAGAAGAAGCGTTACGCGCCAAACAAATAGCAGAGAAAAAAATGGAAAACAAAGAGTTTTCAGCCGCATTAAAAATCGCCCAAAAAGCCCAACAACTTTACCCCGAACTCGAAAACATCTCCCAATTAATTTTAGTATGTGAAGTCCACATTTCATCAGAAAAAAAATCATTCGGATCCGATAAAGATTGGTATTCAATTCTCAAAATCGACCCTTCATCCGATGATTTATCAATCAAAAAACAATACCGCAAATTAGCCTTAGTCCTTCACCCCGATAAAAACAAATTTTCGGGGTCCACAGACGCCTTTAAATTAATCGGTGAAGCCCAAAGAGTCCTTTTAGACCCTGAAAAACGAACGTTACACGATAACAAACGGAGAGCTTTTTCCACCACAAATTGGGCCCCGCGACAGCAACCGGTTGTCCGACAACCACAACATTCATGGAATCCAGTTTTTCCGCAAGGGCATTCTGGTAATTTCGCAGGGGATAATTTCACCGGAGGGCGTTCCGGTCCCGGGACCGGAACCGGGAGCTTTCAGTTTCCGCGCGCGAAGCCTGGGGGTAGCGCGGTCCGGTTAACGTTTTGGACGGTTTGCCCGTTTTGTTCGGTTCGGTATCAGTTTTATCGAGATGATGTTTTGAATAAACCGGTTCATTGTCAAACTTGTAGGAAGGCTTTCACGGCTTATGAATTGAACCTACATGCTCAGCCTTCGGTTCCACAACGGAATACGATTCCGGTTCCGACTCCGACTCCGACTCCTGTTCCGGTTCCGGTTCCGCCCAAATCGAAATCCAAATCAAAACCAACCGAGACGCAAAATGTGAACAAGAAACGGAAAAAGAAGGTGGACGAATCGAGTGAAAGTTCTGACAACGGCACGAGCAGCTCTGAGGAAGATGAAGATGAAGATGAAGATTCCGGAGATGAAAACAGCACGGAATCGGATGAAAATGCCCCTGAAAAAAATCAAGATTCTGGACGTGTTGGTGAACAGCCTCGGAGATCCGCACGCCCGAAAAGAAATGTGTCGTATAAAGAAAATGTAAATGATAATGATCATGATCATGATGACGAGGCTGCTCCGTCAAAAAAGCGGGCCCCACCATCGGATACTGCAAAACCGAAACGCGAAGATATGTTTTGGAAAGCGGAGGTTCGGGAACCGGTCAAAGAAAGTCAAAATCAAGAATCTCATTCTAATTCCGATGGTAAGAAAGTCGATGTTGAGGACGTGGAATCGGAATCGGAACCGGAACCGGAAGCAGAAGATGAACCGGAATCGGATCCGGAAGTTTTCGAGTGTCCTGATCCGGAGTTTAACGACTTTGAAAAAGACAGAAAAGAAGACAGTTTTACCCCTGGGCAGATTTGGGCGCTTTATGACACCGAGGATGCGATGCCAAGGTTCTATGCTTATATTCGGAAAGTTCAATCGCCGGGTTTTAGCCTACAAATCACATGGCTGAAACCGGTTCCGGAAACCGATGATGAAATGAATTGGGTTGAGGAGGAGTTGCCGGTTTCTTGCGGGAATTTTAAACGCGGGAAACCCGATAAAGCGGAAGATCTTCCGATGTTTTCACATTTGGTGACTTGGGAGGAGGGTAAAAAGGGAATTTTCAATATAATTCCGAGAAAAGGCGAGACGTGGGCCCTATTTAAAGACTGGAATATAAACTGGTCTAATGATGGAAACGGAAAGTATGAATATGAGTTTGTTGAGGTTTTATCAAATTATGATGAGGGTATTGGGTTTCGGGTTTCGTATTTGGAGAAGTTGGCTGGATTCCGATGTCTTTTTGGCCAGAAAGAGGATGGGGAGATGGTGATTCCGGAGAGTGATAAGTATAGATTTTCGCATATGGTTCCGTCTTGTAGGATGAGTGGTGAAGAACGGGAAGGTGTTCCGAAGGGGTCGTATGAGCTTGATCCCGCGGGTTTGCCGGCATCAGCATTTGAGTAGGTGGTTTTGTAATAGGGTAATCGGAACCAGAATCAGAAACGGAATCGGAATCGGAATTGGAATTTGGAATCTAAATATTGTGTTTTAGATGTTATTTTGTTGGTAATTAGATATATATAAATCCATTTGGACCCTTGGGAGACTCGTGGTTAATTGATTCGAAATAACGCTAAAAAGGGTCTCTTTTGATTTGGTGATCTTGTTTTGCTTTATTTTTCTTGTATTCTAACGGACATACCATGGAAAGAAAAACTCCTACGTAACATATTGAAGGTAGTGATGCACAAAGTGCTTATTTGTTATGAACACCAATAAACTGGTGATTAAGGGGATGATTAAGGGGAGTGATAACATTCCTAGCATCTTGTCAGGTCAGCTTTTTGAGTGCTATGTTATTTTTCTCCGTTTAACACTTAATCTTAACATTTGATAGGGAGTGATAATACTTTTAGCATTCTATTTGTTTATTTTTATTTTTCTAATTTAATTACTTTATTTTAATAAACAGTTTTTTTTTAATATTACACATTTTTTTTGGTTTAATCTCATACTCGTAATAGACATTGACTTGGATCAAGAAATTGTACTGGTGAAGATCAAGGCTTAATCTCTTGTACATGAACAATATAGTTTACTTGAATTGAGCAATCTTTTTTGTGCTTAGACCTCAACCCCAGAAATCACAATGCATCTATAAAATCAAAATTCCAATCGCACATGCGCATCAAATCCACATCTGTATGACCACATAATGGCATAATGGCGATCGATCCTCCTTGATCACCAAATGAAAACAAACAAACTAACTAATAACACAAATGGAGGAAATACCTAAACAAAAACATAATTAAACATAAAAAATAAGGCGTCAACAAACAAGAATGATGGGTGAAAAAAATAACAGATGTTATTATGGGTCTTGTGAGATTTTGTTTGTTGTTCCTTCAAATCCTTTACTGCAATCTTCTTTGAGCTATTTTTTTTTTTTTTTTTTTTTTTTTTTTTTTTTTTTAACAAACCTTGAAATGTAATCTCTCAAATGCTTCAACCTACCCTTATACACATTTGACAATAAAAAGAAAAAACATTGCAACCAGTTAGGTTTTATTCAAATTGAAATTAAAACAAGAGCAGCGAATTACCAAATTAATCGACAAGAATTCTTCCATTTGAGATGACGCTTCCAAAAAACAATGTCACCCCCTCCTGGTAGTGGATTTGGTGTGCAATCATGAACAGGGAAATTAATCGACAAGAATTCTTCCATTTAAGATGACGCTTCCAAAAAACAATGTCGCCTCCTCTTGCTAGTGTGCAATCATGAATAGGGAAATCAGGAAGATCATGGACCAAATTTAATGGAAGCTGTTAAAGCTCCTCAACACAACAAAAAACTCAAAAAAAAAAGCAATCTATTTTCTCTTATTGTAATCGGTAATCATACTTAGCATTGAAAAGGATGTATTTGGCAAAAATGATAATCGAATTAGAACCCGAAACAATGTCGCTAAATATCTGAATGAAAACCTCTAAAATTAAATCGAATATCATCGCCTCTGATTTATGCTTCGCCGGATTTACTTAGAAAAGGAAAAATTCTTCATCACGATGTGACAACCCAAAAATTTACGAGAATTTAAATATTTCAAAACCAATCCGGGTAAATAAAATTATTCAAATATTAACATAATTCTCAACTTGTTTTCAAAATGATTTCATATCAGAGTTTCCAGAAATCTCAATTCATAAAATGTGAGGATTTGTACGTCACGCCTTCGTCTTGCCACGGTCACCTGAAGTACCTGAAACCAAAAATCAATAAATATAAGCTCAAAGGCTTAGTGAGTTAACCCCAAAATACCAACATATAACATCCAGTAAAAGAATAACAAACAGCATGTCTAATGAACCTCTAGCATGACTGGAGCGTCTCGCAGGGCCTACAACCTATTTGGACCGCTCCCGAGCCTTCGTCATGACTGGACTGCCTCGCAGGGCCTATAGCCTATCCGGACCGCTCGCCACGCCTTCGACATGACTGGATCACATCTGGACCGCCCCGGGTATGTTGGCCTTCATCACAAAGCAGGACCGCCTCAACCTAACCACAGCCATATATGTCAACATATACAATAACACATAATCAATCAATAACATGCACAAACCATACAGATCACTAAGCATAGCATTATCCTATCTATCAAGATATTGATCTAACACATGGTCTTAATCCATTAAGACCTTACTACTGTAACAACGTAAAAATTAAAACAATTTTTCATTTTTCAAACAACATAAAACTCATTCAATATTCTTAAATCTCATGTTTAACAAATGTCATCATGAAAAAAACATATCCCAAGATCATAAAATAAATCTTCTGCCAGTGTGTACGGAACATGCCGACGCCTTCCTGCGATCCTCGCTAATACCTGAAACACATAACACATAACACTATAAGCATAAATGCTTATTAAGTTCCCCAAAATACCACATACAACACATACGCCACTCAAGGTCATAGCTCTATGGGACCTTCCGGTCCATGTGTCTCAGGGGACTTCCGTCCCAACCCTGGTAGACCTTCCGGTTCATACCCTTTTGACCTTCCGGTCCATACACTGTTGACCTTCCGGTCCATAACATGATGACCTTCCGGTCCAAATACATACTACTCAAAACATAACATAACACATACATATCACCTATCAACATATATCACATACTCTTCATAGCACATAAGACCTTCCGGTCAAACATAATTACTACTCTAGGTAATGTATAGTGAGAAGACTCACCTCGTATGCTATTTAGTAACTCACGTGCTTGGTGTCCCTGAACCTCGTAACAATGACCAAGCCCCGCGTAAACACATAAGCAATCATCTCAAATCAATATAGGCTCTCCAGGCTAGACTAGTCCCTTCCAATGTTCTCTGAGAAGGCTAAAAGACCATTTTACCCTTCTAATGGTCCAAAAATCCACGTGTTGACCAAACCCTAAAAGTCAACGAAAGTCGACGGTAGTCAATGGTCAAACTTTGACCAGACTCGTCGAGTGCACTCGTATGACTCGGCGAGTCCATGTGTTTCCTTATAATCCTCAAAAATCCTCACTCGACTCGTTGAGTTAACCTTTCATCGATGGGTTACCACTGGTCACGAATGGCGGGGCAACCCGACTCGACTCATCGAGTCCCCTTATGGACTCGGCAAGTTCCTTCCATGGCAACACTCAAATGACCTTTTAAGGTGAAATCTATTTCTCTAATCTACACATCTGACTTCCCAAGGCTCAATAACTACGTAAAGGTTCAATCTTTACACCCATGCAACACATATAAGACTCCTTTTGGTGAAATAGCTTCTAAAATGGCAACCTAGGTTCATATCTCTAATGGAACAACATAAAGCAGGGAGGTTGGGGCTCTCTGGACCTCTCAAGGTCCAGATCCAGAATTTAACACTCAAAGGGACATCATAAGCATCATATCCAAGCCAATAAAGGGTAGAGAAAACCCTAGATTCAAGGGTTCTACACCAAAACAGAAGAAGGATCGATTTAATACCTCAAAGATGAAGTTCCTTGCTTGAAACCACAAAATAGCAACCCCTTGACCTTCTTTTGCTGGAAACTCCTTCTTCTTTGCAAAAACCACACCAACAAGGATCAAAAGAGCCCTTCTATTCACACCACACCACACGCTCAAGCTCACTAGGGTTTCTCTCTGGACTGGTAGCCACAAATGAGGGTCATAAGGTCCCTTAAATAGGGCACATGCCCGAGGATTTAGGGTTTCCACCCACAGCGCGGACTCGTTGAGTCCGTTCATTAATACAGTCAGCAAATCACGATCCTACTCGACGAGTCTAGGCGTCAACTCGTCGAGTCCCTCCTCATAACTCAAAATAAACAATTTAAATATGGTACATTAAAATCCGGATGTTAAAATTCTACCCCACTAGATTCAGACTTCGCCCTCGAAGTCTCATTCTGCAAACAACTCTGGGTGCTGCTCCCGCATCTCCGCCTTCGGCTCCCAAGTCAACTCGGAACCTCTCTGATGTTGCCATTGGACCTGAACCAGGGGCACCTCCTTGTTTCTCAGAACCTTGATCTTTTGATCCAAGATTGCGATTGGCCTCTCAATATAATTCAGGCCCGCGTCCACCTAAACATCCTCTAGTGGTACTACCGCCGACTCGTCGGCTATATACTTCCTCAAATGAGACACATAAAAGGTATCATGTATCTGGCTCAACTCTGCCGGTAGCTCTAAATGATACGCTACCCTGCCCACCCTTGCGGTCACCCTGAAAGGACCAATGTACTGGGGGCCCCAGCTTGCCCCTCTTCCTGAATCGGATCACTTCTTTCCAAGGAGATACCTTAAGGAGTAAGAAGTCTCTCTAACTTGAAACTCAAGCTCGGATCATTACCTATCCGCATAACTCTTCTGGCGACTCTGGGCTGTCAGCAGTCTTTACCAGACCTGCTGTATCTGCTCAGTCGTCTGAAGCACTATCTCAATGTTACCCATCACTTGTTACCCTACCTCTCCCCAGCAGATGGGAGTCCGACACCTCCTCCCATACAACAACTCGAAGGGAGGCATACCAATGCTCGAATGGTGGTTGTTGTTATAGGAAAACTCTGCCAATGGTAGGTACGTGTCCCAACTTCCTCCAAAGTCCAACACACATGCTTGAAGCATGTCCTTGAGCGTCTGAATCGTCTGCTCACTCTATCCGTCTATCTGTGGGTGGTATACGGTGCTGAAATGCAACATCGTACCCAACTCCTCATGGAATTTTTTCCAGAATCTGGAAGTGAAACGTACGTCTCGATCCGACACAATCGAGATTGCTAGCCTTTCTACAGAAGAGCTCTCACTGATAGCAAGGAAATGGGCGCTCTTCGTCAGCCGATCAACCATCACCCAAATTACACCGACACCCCTCGCGGTCCTCGACAATTTGGTGATGAAATCCATAGAAACC